TTCGCAAGAACGCCCGCAAGTTGTTTTGGGAAACCCGCGTTGCGAAACCATGTGTTTCCATATGTTGTTTGGACACTCGGTTTTGAAATCCTCACGGAACCGAGGTTTCAAACGATTTCGGCATGCGCGCGCGACGACGAGCGCGTGCGCACTTCGTCCCAGCTTTTGCGAGGGACTTTTGAAAACTGATGAACGAGTGCTCGCGCATAGCGTTTTTGCCAGAGGATGGCGGGGAGGAGTACCAGCTCGGCTGGGATGGTACGCGCCCATATTTAGGATGGACGATGGGGCGGAATCATACGTGAATTGCAATACGCGGGGCCGAATGTATAACCCCGGGGAGGGGGGTCGAATCGAGTCTACGTGGTGCAATCCACACTGCCAAACTTGCAGTTGCCAACTTCACTGCTCGCGCAATCATCCCACCCACCCACCCGCAATTTGGTTTGCAAAACCCATGCGGCGGCGATTGCGATCAGTGCATGGTGTTGGCTGGTGCATCTCCGCGCCCGCGCTAGCCCGCGCATGCTCGCGCGCGCAACGGCCAGCTAGTTTGGCGCGACTGACACGAACGCGGTATCATGGCAACGCAGACAACGGTGGACACAATGAAGATAATAGCAATGCTGGTGACGATGTTGACAACGACGATGGCACGGCCAGTGACGGCGCCTGGTCGCGCCGACGACGATGACGGCGTCCTCGCGTCGGCGATGAAGTTTCTGGAAAGAGTTCGACATGCGCGCGCGGCCGACGCGCGAGTGGCCCGCATGGTATGATTTCACACGGACCGAGCCCCCCCAGCTCGCGCGAAAGGGCGTTCGAATGTTTTCGGTATGCGGCGCCCGAGGCTCGTTTCTGGCAGAGTTCCATGCACATGTTGAAAAAACTAGGGCTTCGTAAAAATTCGCAAGAGCATGAGCCCACGCTAATTGTTTGAAAACTGGTGTCGCGAAACCATGTGCTTTTATGTGTTGTTTGGACATTCGGTTGGTTTTGGCATCGCTACGAAACCGGAGGTTTTTGAAGGATTTCGGCACGCGCGCGCGACGACGCGCGCGCGCGCAATCCGTCCCATGTTTGCTGAGGATTCTCGTGACGGCACGCCCTCAAGGGCGTTCGAATGATTTCGAGATGCGCGCGCGAAGCCCGTTTTGTAGCATTATATGAAAATGATGGAAAACCAAAAAATGTGTTCATCAGAATTCGCAAGAGCGCGAGCGCAGGCGTTCTTGAAAATCCGCGTTGCGAAACCATGTGTGTATCTATGTGTCTTACATGTGTTTGAAAACCTTACGGAAGGGACGGTTTTTTAAAGAATCTCGGCATGCGCGCGACGGCGCGCGCGTGCACGCCGTCTCGGCTTCTGTTGCAAAGAACTAAATCTTGCGACAGCACGCGCGCAAGGGCGTTCGAACGATGTCGACATGCGCGCGCGAAGTCCTTTTGGTAACATGGTCTGAACATGTTGAGCATGATCGACACACGAACCCGGAAAGGAATATAGAAACGCAAGGCATGGCAACGCTTCAAAGACACCTGATTGGGCGACAGGCAAATGTAATGTAATGTTGAATGTATCGATGTCAATGTACCGTGCCGAAGGCTGTGCTGTGCTGCGCCGTGCTGAACTGCGATGTGCCATACCGCGATTGCGCTCTATAGCATTGTGGATCGAGTCCTCCTTTGCATCCGAGTCCTGACCGAACCGATCTGGATCTTAAGCTCGAGCTGCCTGAGCACATAGTAGGACGCGCCACGTAACGTCTCAAGGGACTCGCCAAGGGACGTGCCAGGGGAGGACGCACCGCGGGATGTGCCAAGGGGATGCGCTACGGAACGTGCCAGTGGACGTGCCACGGGACGTGCCAGGGAACGCGCCGCGCGACGTGCCAGGGGTCTCGCCACGGAACGCGCCACGGAACGTGCCAAAGAACGTGCCAAGTTGCGATGTTGAATGTATCGATCTTGATGTACCGTACCGAGGGCTGTGCTGTGCTGCGCCGTGCTGAACTGCGATGTGCCATGCCGCGATTGTGCTCTATAATGTTGTGGATCGAGTCCTCCTTTGCATCCGAGTCCTGACCGAACCGATCTGAATCGTAAGCTCGAGCTGTCTGAGCACATAGTAGCCGCCCCAGAACTAATTGACATGGGGACATGCCAGGAGGACGCGCCGCGAAACGTCCCAAGGGACGCACCAAGCGACGTGCCAGGGGACGTGCCACGGGGACACATCGCGGGACGTGCCAAGGGGACGCGCTACGGAACGTGCCAATGGGCGTGCCACCTCATGCTAGACATCCGCCTGGGCGAACTGGACACGTGAAGACAAATGGTTCGCTCGAGACATCCTCAACACATCTTCATGTTAGACGTCCGTTCCAGGCCCCCAGGAAGACCCCTGGAGGCCCATATTTGATACCTCCATGGCCATGTTGAATACCCCCCTGGGAGGCTTGGACACGTAAAACCATATGGTTCCAGTTCGGGACAATCATGTTAGATACCCCACTGGGTGGCCAAGACACATAAAAACACAAGGTTCCAACTCGGGACAACCATGCTAGACACCCTCGTGGGTGGCCTGGACACGTTAAAACAAGTGGTCCTTGCTCGGGAGAGCCATGTTATATACACCCCTGAGTGGCCTGCACACCTAAAAACGTGGGTACCACCTCTGGGCAACCATGTTAGATTCAACCCTAGGTGGCCTGGACACGTTAAAACGCGTGGTCATTGTTCGGGACAACCATGTTAGATTCCCCCTGGGTAGCCTGGACGCGTAAACACACGTGGTGCCAACTCGGGACAACCATGTCAGATACGCCCCTGGGTGGCATGGACACGTAAAAACACATGGTTCCAGGTCGGGAGAACCATGTTAGATGTCCCCCTGGGTGGCCTGGACATGTAAACACATGTAATTCCAGCTCGGGACAACCATGTTAGATAACCCCCCTGCGTGGCCTGGGTACTCTGACTTCGCGCTCCCGCCCGAGACATCCTCGCAATGTCTTCCCTGGAGAGGCCCCCAAAGCGCCACGCCCTGTCCGCAAGAAAGCATCACTTTTCTGTATTGGGATGTGTGTTTGGGTAGCGCGTTTCGGCCCCCGTGCGTTTCCTGATAATTCAGCGTTGGGCCCGACGCCATGTTAGATACCCCCTGGGCGGCCTGGACACGTAAAAACACGTGGCTCCAGTTCGGGGCAATCACGTTAGATACCCCACAGGGTGGCCTGGACACGTAAAAACACGAGGCTCCAGCACAAGACCACCATGTTAGATACCCCCCTGGGCGGCCTGGACATGTAAAAGCACTAGGCTCCAGCACAAGACCACCATGTTAGATACCCCCCTGGGCGGCCTGGACATGTAAAAACGCGCGGTTCCAGCTCGGGACCACCATGTTAGATACCTCCTGGGTGGCCTGCACACGAAAAAACACGTGGTTCCAACTCGGGACCACCATGTTAGATACCCGCTGGGTGGCTTGGACACGTGAAAACAACGGTTGCAGCCCGCCCAGGTGAGATATCTAACATGCGGTCGTCTGGGGCGCCAGCTAGGGGCAGCCATGTTAGATATCCCTTAGGAGAGATGGGCACGTGAAATCAAACAGTTCGCCTGAGACATCCTCTGGATTCTGGCCCCCGACGAAGCCCCAGCTCGAGACATCCCCAGACTCTGCTAAACCAGCGTTTCGCCTGACACATCCTCAACACATATATATATATATATATATATACATACATACATATACAGATACACATAAATAAAAACATGCGTTTCGCGAGGGACCTTCTCAATCTTTCCACGCCGAATAGGACTTGAACATTTTCTATATCGCAAGTGCATTCGCCGGCCGAAACCAAGCACGCGCTTCATTAGGAACATCCTGAATCCCACGCCCACGACGATTGGCACGTGATTGAAAACATCTACCGCGCAACCTCGCGAAGATCCATGAATGCGGCCTCTCAGGGTCTCCATGGGGATCCTTTTGGGGCTCGTTTGGGCCGTCTGGCGGCCGTTCTGGGCCGCCCGGGACCCTCGAACCATCCTGGGGGGATTGGGCCGACTTGGGGATTTCTCGGGGACCTCTTGGGCCTTCTCGGGGGCCTCCTATGGCCTTGTTGGGACTCTCCTGGAAGCCCTTATGCCACGGATTTGAGTTGTACTCACCTCAAGACATCTGACGCGGCGTTCAAGTCCATGCCATGTCCAACTAGGCCCTCAGTCCACGTCGAATCCTCTCGTTCCTTTAAAGTTGGATTCCGCACTGAGCGATACTGCCTCATGCGTGATGCTGCATGCAAGTAGCAAAGACAAGCACACAGTCAGGTGTGAATGCTGGCCTGCAATCATACCACTGAGCGAAACGAATGCAGACCACTCGCGTGGTGGATGGCCGCGCACGGACAAGATCTGCGGGGGAGAGACGCAAGATGTATAGTGTCTGGACCGACTTGTCCCTTGAGCCAAAACGGCTACGGAGGCGATTCGCAATATCTTCGCCATGGCCAGTGCTGCGTTTTCAAGGAGCCAGAGCTTCAGCAGCGAATGAAGAAGTAGGTGTCGCGAGAGAAGCGTCCTTGCGGTCGTGGAAGTAGTTGTGGCTTCGTACTTCCCACGTCGCACCACTGCTGCAGACACGAGTTCGCCCCTGTGCCGCCCGTCGCTGCCGCTGTCGGCTTCGGAGTTCGGTACGAGCGCAGCCGCCCCCCAGCAGCGGACGCTGCTGGCAGGGGGGATCAAGCAAAGCAGCTGTAAGTATAAGAAGCGCCGGAAGAAATGAGGTGGCAGCCAGCGAGGAAGCTAGGTCCCCCGGCGGCCCCAAGAGGACGAGGGGAACGAAGAGACGGCGACGATGGAGGGCTGCGGCTTACCTGACCAAGAGGACGCTGTGCCGCCCCCTTTCCCTGCTCCTCGTCCCCATCCCTACTCCTCGAACTCCCCAGTCGAGCAGTAAGCAGAGCGGCGGGAGACCCAAGCGCGGCCTCTTCTCCTCCACCTCCTTCGAGGCCCGCCACGACTCCACGAGCTTCTCCACCTCCCCGCCGAGCACCTCTGGAGAACCCCCGGGCGACGGTCGTGATCGAGGTCCCTCCATGGGGAAGGCAAACAAAAAACAAGTGAGGTACCGTGAAGCTCCAGCAGGTTCATGTCGTGACGACCACGGCGTTGGTTTATGTCACCGCGTGGATCGTTCAACCTTGAACGACTGGCGGCGCGGCTTTTCGATCGCCAGATCGTTCCATGTTGGCTGGTTCTGGGCTACCAGCGGCGTTGAACCCTGAACGCCAGTGATGGAGTCGCCGCCACGTCGACACGACGCGAGTCTGCCGCAGATGCTGGGCTAGTCGAGCTACTTGCATCAGGAATGTTAGACAAGGACAGGGAACAAGGCCATTTGTTTAGCGCAACCAAGAAGCCTAGGTGTACATGCGTAGTGAAATTATCACCCCTCCTTGTCCAGGGTTGCTTGTCACCCACCGCGGATAATGTTGTTTTACTCTACGAGGGCAAAGCCGCTCCATCAATATTGCTGCGGAAATATGGCAATGCGAGATCGCTTCACCCAAGAGACAATGCATTGGCGCGCACATTGCAAACACCTGACAGTCACATTGGACCAAAAGATTCGTCCGCCGAACTTTGGAACAGTTACCTCCACAGGCGAAGAACAAACAACATGAACGTCAGGCTGATCAAACGGGGGGAGATCAACCCGCGCAGCAACCTTCCAGGGGAAAGCCGCCGAGATGGGGACCTCCCGAATTGTCTGAACTCGCCCCTGAGCTGATGTGCCCCCAACGGGTTGGGGATAACGTTGCCAGACCCATGGGAACTAACAAAGTTATCCCCAAACCATCAAACCCCTAGACCCCACAGACACGCGAACGCCCGCGCGTCGAGGCACGTCGCGTCCTGGCGCGCTCCCAGGAAGCCTTTCGCGAAGTAAAAACGATGGGAAAAACATATGTGTAAACAAATATCCCCGAACTCGTTCCACGTCGCCCGCCATGCCCGCAATCGCGCAGGGGCGCAACCGTTCCTGCCGCGCGCCCTCCAGCGGAATAACGAGCCCTAGTCCCAAGCAAAAAAACAATTAGTTTGGCTAGTTGCAGCCTGCCCAAACGAGGTGCGCCAGCGTTTGAGCCAAGGGCGCACGCGCGCCTCCCAACAAACGGTGCGCAACGTGCGAGCCTTGTCCCCCCGGGCAGGGGTCGCGATAAGTATCTCGCTGCGGAGTACAGGGAGCGCCAGAGGGACAACCACGGAAGGACCAGAGTTGTGGATGCCACGACAATGGACCCCCTGACAGTCCTATCATTGAATTTAACATGTGTTTAAAATGTCGGGCAAATGCTCTAAACATGTGTTACCCATGTTTTCTTACATGCCTAACACATGTTTAACATGTTTTAGACATCTGGAAATTAGTTGGCAACATGCTTCCTCTCCATTGACCGTCCTCCACAAGCCAAGGGCGCACGCGCGCCTCCAAACAAACGGTGTGCAATTTGCGAGACTTGTCCCCCGGGCAGGGGTCGGGATAAGTTTAGGTCGGGCATGTCCTCCTACAGGGGAATGTTCTGTGAAACATTAAATCTTAAAACGAAGCAATCCGAGATGGTGGGAGATAAAACAGGGAAAAAAACAAAAAACAAACCAAAAACAAAAAAAAAAAAAAAAAAAAAAAAAAAAAAAAAAAAAACGTTCCCTGAATGTTTGTTTTACTACTCTTGGATATTCCTCCTGTAGAGGGACGTGCCCGACGGAAAGACACGTACTCCGCGGCGGAGCACGAGGAGCGCCGGGGGAACAACCACGCCAGGACCAGGGGAGCGGCGAGCCCCGTCCCCAGCCGGAGCCGCCCCGTGCTCCGGCGTCTCTGCCGGCGGTGCACAAACCTCGGAGACCTCGCAGTGGGCACCAACACCAACACAGGGGGTTGCCTCCACAGGGGGAAGATGATCCTAGGTTTCGGTGTCGGTGGTAGCATTTCGGTCACCTTGGAAGCCAGACTATGACCACCATCACCGAGATCGGGATCTTCTTCCCTCGGCGGAGGCACACCGCCGATGTTGGTGTTGGTGTCAACCTCTAGGCGTGCGAAAACCTCCCTTTCGCACACCTCCCCTCAGTGAAAACGGCCTGGGACCGAAGCCGACGGAGAGCTGTGGAGAGCGCGCTCCACGACCCGCAGGGTAACTTCCCGCAAGTGGCCTGGCTCCGCCGCAGGATTCGGCGGTGGACAAACCTCCCTTTAGTAAACCTCTCCTCAGTGAAAACGGCCTGGGACCGAAGCCGACGGATCTGGACCCGCAGAAGTGACGGGCCGGGACGCCCTCTCACGAACCGACAACGGCCACTTTCGGGTTGACCCAAAAGGGGGTCCAGCGACAAGGGGGTGGTGCAATAGATTTGGTGCAATAGATTTGCGGGGTTGCAATACGTTTGGGGCGTAGAATACATTCCAGTGCGCAAGTGTATTGCTGGATCTTCGCGCGCAATACCCTACTTGCAATACAACGCAATACAATTCTCCAGCGCAATACATTTGTAATACAATTGCCACAGATCTATTGCACCACCCCCTTTTAGCTGACCCCCTTTTGGGTCACCCATTCACTAATTGACGCGTCAGGGTAGGAAGCCTGTCCACCCCCGAGCAAACCGGGGACATGCCGAGGCAGCCTCGGCTCTTCCTCGTCGGAGCCGACGTCCGGCCATGGAAAGCGCGCTCCACGACCCGCAGGGCAACTTCCCGCAATAGAGGAAAGAGAACTATGCACATGCACCGATTCTGGCCAGGCCCAACCCTGAGCCCAGGATCGGAGCATACGCCCTCTTAACTTGGCCAGGAAGGCATATGCACCGATCCTGGGTCAAGGATGGGCGTTGTCAGGATCGGTGCATGTGCATAGTTCTCTTCGCCCGAGTAACTTCCCGGAAGTGGCCTGGATCCGCCGCGAGGGATTCACGGTCCACCACGCAGGGTAGGAGGTCTATCAAATTCCGAGACTATCCGAGATGAAGGGGCCCTGGGGCACACAAATAAATACACACAAATAAAAGTACTCCCCATATGTTCCCATATTTTCGGGGTTTTCGTCTTCCCCCCACTGCCCATATTTTCCCATATTATCTGGGGAATCGACGATTCATTGTGTCTGTGTGTTTCTCCCCCTGCAGCACTTGAGGATGGTGTTTACGGAGCACCGTTGACGGCAACACCACACCGCTCACCCTCCGGATCTTCGCCTCCGGCTCCTGTCCAAGGCGTTCCTGTTCCTGTGCAAGCTCCTCGGCACCGCCTGCACCCCGGCCCGCCCTCCGGCCGCCTGAGGCCCCGCCCGCCTGTGCCCTGCCTCCCCAATGAGAGCTGTGCGTAGCCCGCCTAGCTTTTACCGGAAGAGGCTCGCTCCCGCCCCGCAGACCAAAAAAGTGTTTCTCCCCCTCCTGCAGGAGGTCCACCGAGCTCCGAGAGCCTCTCCGAGAGCCGGCGGGTCCCCAGGGGAGGCGCTGGGCGCCGCGGCCGCCCTGGAGCACTCCGGAGCGCTCCGGTCGAGCGCCCTGGCGACTCACGGCAGGTTCGTGTCGTCGGGCGGTGGACAGACCTCCCTTTAGTGAAAACGGCCTGGGACCGAAACCGACGGACCTGGACCCGCAAAAGTGACGGCCGCGACGTCCCCTCGCGAACCAAAAACGGCCCATTCCTCAATCGACGTGTCAGGGTAGGAGGTCTGTCCACCCCCGAGTCGTCAAGGGCTCCCAGCTTCGCGCTTCGCGCTGCGCGAGGCGCGAAGCGCGAAAATAACTGCCCGCTCTCGCGCCGCCTCCCAGGGGAGAAGAGGAGGAAGGGGAGGAGTCGGAGCCGAACCGCGGAGCGCGAAGCGCGAATAACTTCGCGCCCTCGAGGGCGCCCTTATGGAGCGCTCCGGAGCGACTTCCGGCAGGGTCGTGTCGTGTAGATTTAAGTCGGGCCTGTCCTCCTACAGGGGGACTTTGGACGAAAAATAAACCATAGTCAACAAATGCCCCAAACTGGCCCAAAACTGCCCGAAAGATCGTCCCCTGACCATTTTTTACTACTTTTGAGTCCTCCTATAGAGAGACGTGCCCCATTTAAGTGTAGACCCCAGCGCTGGTTCCTGACACCGCGGGGATCGTTCGACCTCGAACGATCGGTCGCTCCCGCAACGTCCGATCATTCCACGTCGACCGATTCCAGGTCGCTGGCGGCGTTCAGCGCTGAACGCCGGCGGCGGGGTCGCCGCAGGTCGACACGACGTGGATCTACCGTAGCCTCATCCTAAGCTTATGCTGCTTATGCTGCATCCTCGAAGGGCCTTGCCTGTCCTGTCGCGGCCCGTTTCGCGTCGAATCCGTGTCGAATCCGTGTCGGCCTCGTCGGATCCGTGTCGAATCCGTGCCGAATCCGCGCCGAATCCACGCCAAATCCGCGTCGAGTCCGCATCGAGCCCGCGTCGGGCACAACAGAAGACACCAATTTGGGGGACAGGCGAGGCCCCTCGGAGATGCAACGTAACCGAGCCTGCCTGACGTCAGAATCGGATCAGGGAAAGCGGATCGAATCGGAACGGAATCGGAGCGGGCCGCATCGGCACGGAGCCGGGAGATCGCATCGCGTCGGCCGCGCCAGGGTGCACACAACAGCGCAATCATGCGAGCACGGGGCCGCAGCGGCCCCTCGGAGCATCCGAGTCGAAGAGGGTCGAGCTGGCAGACATCGGCATCGAATCGGATCGCAGGGCTGCACCCAAATGGTGCTTTCCGTTCTCGCTCCGTCTTCGTTGTCCCCTCGTTCTGGCTTCCGTCCGCGCCTCTACCGCAAAACGAAGTCGAACCGAGAACGGCCCACGGAAACGCCAAAGCACCGTTGCGGTCCCAGCCCTGCCAGATCAGTCGGACCGAAATGCGCCCCGGGAAGGCGGGGGGGCGCGCTCGGCGGATCGCCACGGCCGGCCGCGTGGTCACGAGGGGGGGGGGCCATTGGGGGGAACCGGCCGGGGGGGAGAAGCCGACAGGCCCTCGACTGTGAGACCGCACGCTCCTGGGCGGGGCGGGCTATCGAGCCCTTTTCCGCGACCCGTGGGCGCTCGGGGAGTCGATATGCAGCCCTCCCTGAGCCTATCACCCCCGGACGCTGACCCTGGAGTTGAGGGGAACGGCGAGGGCGAGGGAGCCACGCCATCGACGGGAACGGGGGGGTCAAAACCCCACCTCTTCCCCCCTGCCCCGCGCCGGCAAGCAGCGACGATGGCGCCCCGCCCGTCCACCCGGCCCGACCGCCCGCCTAGTCCGACCGTCCGACCATCTCGCTTAAATGTCCTGCCCAACCCGACCGCCCGACCCTTCGTCGTCGTCGTCGTCGTCGTCGTCGTCGTCGTCGTCGTCGTCGTCGTCGTCGTCGTCGTCGTCGTCCTGCCTGCTGGCGGCGAGTAGGGGTGGGGGGTCATGGACCCTCCCTGCCCTTCATTCGGGAGAGGGGGGAGGGTCTGGGGGGGCCCAAAAATTCAGACGGGGGTCGTCTCTTGGTCTCGGAAGCCCACCCCTTCGGCGAAGGTTTCCAAGGCAAGCGAACTTGAAACGCACTTTCTACCTCCATCCTTGAAGGGACCCTGGGACACACAAATAGATACACACAAATAAAAGGATTCCCCATATGTTCCCAGATGTTCTGGGTTTTCGTCTCCCCCCCCCACACTTCCCATAGTATCCCACATGTTCTGGGGAATCGACGAGTAGTCGTGTCTGTGTGCTGCTTTCCCTCCTGGATCCCTCTCTCTCTCTCTCTCTCTCCCTCTCTCTCTCTCTCTCTCTCCACGGCACGGGCTTCTCGCCCCGAGTCGGCTCCGATCATTGCCGGCCCCGGGGCCCGGCAGCGGCCCCGTGGAGGCCGCGCAGGGCCTGCGGTGCCGGCCGGCGCGGACGCCTGCGTCCAGGAGCTGTGGCACTGCAGGCCGAAGACATTCCCTTCCAAGGGCTCCCAGCTTCGCGCTTGGCGCTGCGCGAAGCGCGAAGCGCGAAAATGACTGCGCGCTCTCGCGCCGCCTCCCAGGGGAGAAGGAGGAGGCTGAGGAGGAGTCGGAGCCGAGCCGCGGAGCGCGAAGCGAGAATGACTTCGCGCCCTCGAGGGCGCCCTTGCCCTTCGCGCCGTCGACACGTGGCCGCGAAGGGCGCGGACCAAGAGCAGAGAAGCCCCCCCGCCGAAGATCCGAGGACGCATGGGATTACCGCAGAAAACGAGAACTGATGGGCGTGTTTTCCACCACCACCATCATAAGTTGGAGGGGGGGTCCTCCTCCTCCTCCTCCTCCTCCTCCTCCTCCTCCTCCTCCTCCTCCTCTTCCTCCTCCTCCTCCTCCTCCTCCTCCTCCTCCTCCTCCTCCTCCTCCTCCTCTTCGTCCTCCTCCTCCTCCTCGCCCTCCTCCTCTTCCCCCCATCCAACTTCTGGTGGTGGTGGTGGTGGAAAGCAGGCTCATCAAGAACAGCCCGAGGCGGAGAGCCCAAAAACAAAAACACACACAAGGGCACCACATCCAGAGCCGGGCCTTTTCTCAGCCCGCCCGTGCCAGCTGCAGCCTCGGGGAAACCATCAGGTGCCGACACCGCTGCTCCCCCGACCTCTCCCAGGGTGCGTTCTGACAAGAATTTCGAAGGGAATCCAGCCGTGGCGACGGGAGCTCTCCAGGACAAGCAGCGGCATCGGCGTCACGGACCAGAGAACATACGGCACCTCCCCACCCACGGCCCCGAGGGGCTAGCGTATGCCAGGAGAGTCAGGCGTGGCTCGTGCGCGGTAAATGTCCGCTACGGCGCCCGAGGGGCCGCAGCGCAACGTGGAGGGCCGCAGGTGGGGTGGCGCCGCGTGTTCTCTGGCCGATCTGTTTCCTCCTCCTGACTTTTTGCTCGCGAAGCGCCACGAAGGCACACAAGCCGGCCCCGAGCGCCAGGGTCTGACGGCCTGCCGGGCGGACCCGCGGCGCGGTCCGCGCGCGCGGCGCCCCCCCGCGGTCCGCGGGAGCGCGCCCCGCGGCAACCGGCGGCGCGCGCGGCGCGCGCGCACGCCCGCTCGGCAGTCGGAGCCGCAGGCGGGGTGCGGCGGTCCGCTCGCGCCCGCTGGGCGCGGCGGGCGCGGCGCCGTCACCTCGGCACGAGAGGAGGGGGGGAGCGGGAGGTGGGCCGAGGAGGAGGAGGAGGAGGAGGAGGAGGAGGAGTGAAGGAGTAAGAGGCTGCGGGCGGGGGCAGGCGGACGAGGAGGAGGGGGAGGAGGAGGAGGGGGAGGAAAGGAGGAGGAGGAGGAGGGAGGAGGAGGAAGAGGAGGAGGAGGAGGAGGAGGAGGAGGAGGAGGAGGAGGAGGAGGAGGAGGAGAGGAGGAGGGGGAGGAGGCGGAGGAGGAGGAGGAGGAGGAGGAGGAGGAGGTGGTGGGTCGTGAGGGTTGTGGGCCCCTCGGAGGCCCCTCGCACGCCGGCGAAGAGGGGGACCTCGAGCCCGCACTGGGGCGAAGGGGGGGGGGGGGGGGGGCGACCGAGCCCCGCACTGGGCAAGAGAAAACCCACCCCAGACAGGGCTCGAAGGCCCCGCGCCAGGCCACCAAAGCCAAGCCCCCAAGGCCGACCAAGCTCCCGCACGAGAGCTGCGTAGACCGTGCGCCGTGCGAGGGAGTCCCCCCCCCCCACCCTCAGCTCGCAAACAACTTCTGCAGCACTCGCCCGCCGATGGGCAGCGATCCAGCCTTCTACACGGAGTCCCAATCACGCCGAAAACCCACAGCATGCGCCACACTGGAAACCGACAATGAGCAGCACGCGCCAACCGGCCTGGACCCGATGGCGCCAACTGCCGCCAAAGGATCCCGCCCCGAGGCACTTCTGGAGCCCCAGGTTCAGGTCGGACCGCACCTCTGAGACCGATGCGTACGGCCAGACCCAGGACAGCAAAAAATCCATCAAGCGCACGAGACACTCCGCAGGCTTCACGTGAAGAGCATTCGAGGGTGCACCCCCCCCAGGATGCAGCAACGCCTCCAACTGCTCGGGTTTCTGTTTCAGGCTGTTTTCGCGCAGCGTGTACGCAACGCTGGTCTCGAGCGCATCCAGCCTCTTCTCCACCAAGTCAGGCTGCTCAAATTGTTCAACGAGCTCGGAATGCGCAGTGGGCTTCTTAGCCTCGTGGCGAAGCACCTCTGACTGCGCAATCTTCAGTTGCTCCAGCTGCTTGCGCGACCGTGGCCTCTCCATGTTGTCCTCGGGGGTGTTGCGCCAACGCGTCCATGTCTTCTGCGTGGACGTACGGGCCACGATGGGCCTACATCCTCCTGGAGGCTCGGGCCGAGCACTAACTCTTGGCCAACTCCCCGTCTCCCCTCACAACCAGGCCCGTGCGCACATCCTCGGACAAGGCCGTGCCCTCGAGGCCGAGGACCTTCCCCGCCTCGCGCAAAGACCTCATCGAAGCCATGCATGGCATCCTGCTCGCCATGCTCGATGCTATACCCATTCAGCTCCAGCACGAACTGGGCCGCGTCCGAGACCGAGAGGACGCGTGCGACTGTGGAGCCATTCGGGGATGGACAGAACCCCCTGTAGCAAAACGTGGCTCAGTGAAAACGACCTCGGGCCCAAACCTGGCGGGCGCAGGCGTGGAAAATGACGGCCGCGGCGCCCTCTCGGAAACTGAAAACGGACAATTCACGAATCGACGCGTCCGGGTGGGGGGTTGTTCACCCCCGAAACACATCTGACAGCGATGCCTCTCGCATCGCGCCAGCGAAGCCTGCTGGGCCCCGCGCGCTGGGGACCTCGGGCTGGGGGGCCAATGCCGCACAAACGGGCTGTGACAACAACGCACTGGCGAAGACGCCAGATCCTGCGAGCCCCAATAGCTACGGGAGGAGGAGGAGGAGGAGGAGGAGGAGGAGGAGGCGGAGGAGGCGGAGGAGGACGAGGAGGACGAGGAGGACGAGGAGGAGGCGATGAGGAGGAGGAGGAGGAGGAAGGAGGAGGAGGAGGAGGAGGAGGAGGGAAAAAGAGGAGGCGAAGGAGAGAGAGCGAGGGTGGCGAGGACGAGGGAGGAGACTGAGGAGGAGGGAGGAGGAGGAGGAGGCGGAGGAGGAGGCAAATGGAGGAGGAACAACAGTGACAGGAAGAGGAGGAGGAGGAGGAGGAGGAGGAGGAGGAGGAGGAGCAGGGGGAGAAGGGAGAACTAGGGAGGAGGAGGACGAGGAGAAGGAGGAGGAGAAGGAGGAGGAGGAGGAGGAGGAGGATAAATATTCTCTCGCTCCGCCCTGGCGAACGGTCTCCGCGCGCGCGCCGGCGCCTCCACGCGCGACGGCGGGACAGACCCGCCGCCGGGCGCGAGGGGGCCGACGCGCCGCGCTCAGGGGCGGGGCCCCTGGCCGCCGAGAGGCGTCGCAGCTAGCGAGCTCTGGGGGGCAAGACAGCCCAGCCCCCGCAGTGCACACAGGCGGCCGCGCAGCGCGTACGCCATCAGCCTTACACAGGCCGGGAGGGCAGGGAGAGGGGCCGAAATCATTGCAGAGACCGCGGGGGGTAGTCGCAGATAATAAGAGGGAGCACTCTTTCGCTCCGCCCAGGGGAGCGGTCTCCGCGCGCGCGCGCGACGGCGGGGCAGACCCGCCGCCGGGCGCGAGGGGGCCGACGCGCCGCGCTCAGGAGCGGGGCCCCTAGCCGCCGAGAGGCGGCGCAGTCATGCCCAGGCTCAAAGCCCTCGCGAAGTGACAAGGTTTTGGCGGGCGGCCGCGAGTTGGACTGACCAGGCTGACGACCCAGCAAGCAGAAAAGAGGCAAGCAAGCGGCTGCTAGCGGAGGCGGAGAAGAGCACCTGAGCCCTGGCGGCATCTGAGAGAGACGCAAGGACAGTCGAGGCAGCAGCAGCTTGGAGGTAGCGCTCAGCACTCGACGCTTGGCGCCACCTGCCTCGCCAGAAGACGCGAGGAACGCCTTCTGTAGCGATGCGAAAGCCAGTGGCGCCTAAAACCCGAAGACAAGCAGGGGCCAAGTTCAGTCCAGCGGCAACTCTGGCGAGCGGAATGCCCAACGCCGAAAGCAAGCAGTTCCACCGAGCACGGGGGCCGCTAGCCCCGCAGGGGACGAGCGGATCCGTGGAAGCGAGATGTCCAAAAACACGTTCAAACAGGTCCACCGATCGACGATCCGAACACCTCGAATGCTGAGCGGGGTGTGAGCGCAGGGCCCTCGGCGTCGCGATTACCAGAAGGGCGTCGCCTGTCGGCTCGAGACGGTCCGACGGCAAGGAAAGGTCGCACCTCATCGCCTTCGCGAGTTCCCCTGGACGCTAAGACCGCGGTCAGCGGGCGCGGCGGCGGCCGCCGAGGCAGGAGGGCCCCCCCGCGGTCACGTGCGCGCGCAGCCCGCGCACGCACCAGAGGAGCACGGCCTCTGCTGCCCCACAGGATCACGCGCCCCGTCGAGGGCCACCCGCCGCTCGCGCGACGCGAGGAACGGCGGCAGCCTCCTCTCGTCGACTCCTGACGAAAACGCGAAATCAGCGTGCCCCTCTGCGAAGGAGTTGTCGGTCGCGTCGATCATGCCCATCGCGATCGTCTCGACCTCCGAGGGCACGCAGGGCGCCCCGCTCTCGATGTCTGCCCAAAGGCGGAGGGCAGGCGGGCCAGCAGGGCGCGCCGCGCGATCGCGGCCGCGCAATTTCGCCCCCATCTCGGCAGCGCCCTGTCGAAGTTCGAGTCGCAGGGACCCGCGAAACTCCCAGCGCAGGAGGCCGGGGGCGGAGCAGACACGGCGCGCCCGCGCCGCGGGGGGGTCGTCGGACGCCGCACCGCGGCAGCTGGCGCAGCAGGCCGCGGCCCGCTGGGGGGAGACGCTAGCGGGACCGCAGCTGGGCGAACCTCCGACGCGGAACGCCCGCTGGGCGAATCCCCCGAGGCGCCGTCGGAATCGGCGCTGGCGCCCTCCGCCGACTCTCCGCTACAGTCGCGGCCGTAAGCGTTCGGAGGCCACCTGGAGGGGCTCGGGCCCCCGCCCCCACTTGGAGCCGACGCGGCGAGGCGGCCGCGGGAACGCCAAGCGACGCGCTTCGCCGCGGCGCCCGTCACGCGCGGCTCGACGCCGTAAGCAGAGCCGCACGCGCGACGGTTGGCGGTCCGCCGCGGCCAGGCAGAGGCGCAGCCCCCACCTCAGGGGCGGGGAGAGCCGCGCGACTCGCCTGGCGCGTGGAGGCCGCGCGTTGCTTTCGGCGGGCCCCGCTACGATTGGCCGAACTCGAAGCATGGCCTCCCAGGTTCGGCCTGTCCTCGACGGCCTCGTCGCGGGACCCCAGCCGTCGGCGGGCGGCCCGTCGATCGCTGCGCGACATGGCGCTAGCAGGATCGTCGGGTGGGCGCACGCTGGCCCGCGGGTTTGCCTGGCGCTCTGCCTCCAGCTCTGCGAGCGAACGCCCCGCTGCCGCAGCGGGAGCGCCCCCCCCAGCCACATGAGCCCGACGCGCCAGACCAGCGGGATGCGCCACCTCCGCGCTGTGCAGAACTGCCCTTCGCACTCGGAGAGTGTCGCGAGCAATCTGGACGGGGGCCGCGCGCCGCCCCCCGCGAGCTTCCCGACTGGCCGCCTCCTGGAGCCGACGCGCGCACCGACGGCTCGCGATGCCCCCGGCCAGCTCACGCCTCGCCGCCGCGCGCTCGCATGCGTCGAGAACATCACGGGCGCGGCACCCTAGCTGCCTAGCTGCGAAGCCCGCCCGCGCGTCGCGGAGCGACTGTAACTCCGGGCGAACAGCCTCCGCCACCTCGGCCAGCTCGGCGTCGGCGGGCGCGACAGACCGAGCGCGCGCGAGCGAGGAGGGGCCCGGCGCAGCCGAGCGGCCAGCGGGGGCGTCCGAGGCGCCGTGCAGCGCCGAGCGCAGGGCAGCGCGCTCGGCGCGCGCAGCCAAGGCACGCTCGGACACCGCTGCGTCCAGGGCGGACAGCAGAAAGGAGTGGCCGGGAGTAGTTTTGCCTTTGTGCGCCCCCTTGCCGAGGTCCTCGGCGCGGGCGAGAGCCTGCGCGGCGGCCCCCCCGCCGCCGGAGCTCTGGACGCCTGGAGCGGCGCGGCTGCCCTCGTAGGCATCGCACGGCCGCTTGAATCGCTGCTTCCGCTCCTCGGCTTCGCTGGCCAAGAGAGACGCCGCTCCCTCGCCAGGGCGACGGTCTCGCGCCGCGGGACGGGCCGCCGCCTCGACGGCGCAGCGCCCCCCCCCGTCGGCGACACGCAGGGCGGCCCGCGCATCCTGCCGCCCGGCAGCTGCGCGGGCGTAAATGCTCTGACCACTGCTGCTCGCGGGCCCCAAGGGGGCCTCTCGATGCGCGAGCCGCCGCTCGCCCGCTAGGGCGCTGGCTGCGCTCGGGGAGCGACCGGCGCAGGGGGGGGGCCCAGGACCGGCGCCACCCTCTGCGCCCACCTCTCCCGCGGAGCGGGGTGGGTCACGCGGCCCCGGCAGAACTCGGGAACTGAGCTTTCCTGGCCCCGGGCCCCCGAGGGGCCGGCAGGCCTGCGCGGCGCGCGTCGCCGCTGGGCGCCTCAGCGGCCCGCTCCTCCGCGGAGGCGTCGTCGGCGGCGGCCACCCCCGCGCGCGAGGGGGAGACGGCCGCCCGGGGGAGGCCCCGCGGGCCCACCCCTCGAGCCGCGAGCAGGGCAACGAGGCGCGCCCATGGGCAGAGAGCGCGCCGGCCTGCGCCAGGCAATCGAATCGTTCAAAGTTCCCCCGTTCTGCCTCCACAAGCCACGCTGGGCGCGTTCAAGAGGGGGGGCGGACTGACCGGTGCCTCGCGGGGTCGTCTGCCCGATGAACGCCCGTCGGCCCGCACGCTCCCCCATATACAACCCGCCCCCGATGATGCACGGCAGCGCAGTGCGCAAGACATGGGACAATCCCGGGGACTGCTGCGCCCGCGGGCTGCAGCTCCCAGAGCCACTTGGGAATGTTGAAGACTGTGGTCTCGAGGGTGTTCATATATATATATATATATATATATACATATATATACATATATATATATATATTATGGGCACGCGCAACTGCCATTTGCACGTCAAACAGAGGCGGCGAGCTTCAGAGACATCCGTTGCCCAGCGAGGCGCGACTCAGGGCTCAAGCGAGGACAGCCCTAGGTCGCGACGCAGCTGAATGAGCTCAGGGCCAAGGGGGACCCCTCGGCACAAACCTTGGGGAAGGTGCCGATCGATGAGCCGCGCGCGCCAGCCCCCGCACTCGGAACGTCTCCGCAGCTCTGCGGACAAATGGGCATATCCGCTCGAACTTCTCCCCCGCGGCCGAGGGAAGCATCCCCGCCGAACCCTGCGGGGCAGGGGGCCGCGCGCAGGTCGGCGATGGCCGTTAGAGTCAAGAAAGCGCAGGCTAAAAGCTCTCCTACAACAGACGCAGGCAAATCATACTCAGTCTCGTCACCAAGAGCAATCCGCAAAACGAAAATCTAAACGCGCGTAAAAAGGGAAAGCCTTGGACGTCGGAACAGAAACACCTGCATCTAGCAGCCGACGGGGGACGCCATCAGGGCACGCGTCGAGGAGCCAAGATACACTTGGATCTGGGCCAGCCTGCACAGGGCGACCGAGCGGACGAAGAACACACGCGATCGGGATCCGTCCTTCGATCTCGGCCCCCACGACGACCTCGTGGGTTTCGCCGCGGGCGCGCCTCCCTGGGTGCTGCGCCAACCCGACCTGCGGGCAGCCGCGGTCGCACGCGGCGAAGACTTCCCGATGGAGGCGAGAGGGATCTTCGGGACGTGGGGCGGAGCCACGCCACGAGAACTTCTGAAAGCCCGCGCGGTCGTCAACGTTGAGCATTTCGACGAAGTTCCCACTAGGGAAGAGACATCGGCGCACCGCCTGCGCCTAGAACTGGAAGGCACCGAAGCAGCGGAGAACCCACTCGCGAGCCGCGTCTGCGATTTCCACGGCCACGTTGTCGCAAGAGCATCGAAGCACGGCGCAACGGCCGCGCCGGCCAGCCTGGGGCGCCAGGCTCGAAGGGACTTCAAGAGGCCCCTGGGAACCTGAACCGCAACGCGTTCCTGCGCGCGCGGGCGGGACACGGAAGAGGCAGTAGAACCCCCTCGAATTGCCACAAGAGATGACCAGGCACTCCTCTGGGCTAGGACCAGCCGGCACGGCGGAAACCCTCGGCCGAGCCGTTGCGCGCTCGAAGAAACAGAGGAGCACCGGCTGTTGACGACCGACGACCGTACGGTTATGGATCGAAAGATCGAACCCGCTGCCCTTCGGAACTCGGAAGGCTCCGCGCGCCTCTTCCCAGCACAGATACGCAGCTGGGGTAAGGTACAAGGCGCCGCAAGCGTCCCATTTGTCGTAGAGGAGAGCCCAGAGGTCGCGGCCCGCGTGGACGCGCGCCCCCTGCTGGCCCGCAAGCCACTCTGCCCTCGGGAGACCCATGACATCAGGGCCGGGAAACGCCCGGCGCACGATCGGGTCGGACAGAAAGGGAGCGGGATCCAACTTGGGCGAATAATCCGACATGATGCGAAACGCCGCGCCCTAAATGCTCGACGCGGGCGGAGTCCCACGACGCCGCGGCGGCAAGTAACCCAGGCACCGGAGGCGCTGACGAAGGGCGCCGCCGCCTGGGCGCGCGCCGAGGCGGCGGAAGGAGGCGAAGGAAGCCTCCAGAGCTGCAACTTGGGCAGCCAAGCCATGGAGCGAGACCTCGGCAGCATCGAACTCAGAAAAAGATCAGCCTCAGTCGCTCCTGCCCCCTCGGGCAGGGCGAACTGCAATCCGGCGCAACCGCTCCGTGCGGCAGCGCGCGCCCGCCCGGCAGGGCGAGACCGTCGCTCGCACGCGAGCCTCGGTGGCTCGGCTGGCCGGGGGTCAGCCAGTCTAGAGCAATCACGGCGCGTTGAGCCAGCGCGAGAGCTGCGCGCTTGAAACGCCACCGCCCCCGCGCGCGGCCGACCAGAAGCTGGCGGCGACAAGACTGGTGGAGCTGGAAGGCACGGCCATGGATCGCGGGCAAGCGGCCCAGCGAAAGCACCGCCCCGGTCCGACGGGCGCCGAGACGAGCGAGAGAAATACACCAGGGAACACCGCGCCCCCACCCCGATCTGGGACAGGGCAGCCGCCCATCGGGGGATGTCGATGTTCGCGCCAGGGAATAAGCGCAGCAATGACGACAGATCTGCCACACGAAGGGGGCGGTCTGAGCCGCCGAGACCGAGGCGAGGGGGGAGGGGCGGAAGCCGAGCGCTGCTGCGTGGCAGGAGCACGGGGGGCGCAAGAAAAAAAGAAAGGCAGGGCGGCACCCCCGAATCAAGGGCAGGCGAGGCCCCCCCAGCGCCCGCCGGAGCGTCGCAGAGAGTTGGCGGACCAAGGCGGTCCGACGAGGCAACCACGCCAGGAGCTGACGAGCTAAGATCGCGCGGGCAAAACGAAAGCCCCCCCGCGGCGGCGCAACGCCCTCGCCGGAGAAATGCACTCCCATCTTCGCGACCTCGCTCGGCCCAGGCCCTACCGGAAGCTGCGGCGGGCGAAGGGGGGGATCTGCGAGAGCCAACGTGGCTGGCAGAGCGGCGAGGCGCCCGAGACTCCGAGGCCAGGTCGCGGCGGCGGGACGCCCCCCCCCCCCCCCCCCCCCCCCCGCGGCGGCGCAGCGCCCTCGCTGGAGACGCCCACCCCAACCTCCGCGGCCGAACTCGGGCCCACTGCGCTCAGCAACACGGGCGCCAGCGGAGAGGGCTGACGGTCGGGGGCGGAGCCCTGCGGACCGCCCGCGCAGGGGCGGCCCATCGGCCCCGCGGCAGCTCGGCGCCCGCCGCGGCCTCGGGCCGGGTCGTTCCCATTGGCTTCGGCTTTGCTTTCGCCTCCGCCATCGGCCCGGAGATCGGAGCCATCGAAGCCGCCGCCCGCTCCGAGCCCAGACGGAAGAGGGCCCGCCCCTTAATGTCCTCGCCCCGGGCCGACAGCCAGCGCGGACCCACCGGCGGCGAGAACGGGCTGCGAGCCCCCCGCTCCGCGCGCAGGCGCGTCGCTCGCGTCGGCGGGCCCCCCTGCAAGCCAGGATCCGCGCCGCCTGGAGGCGCCCGCGATCCCCCGCCTGATCCACGAACATGCACTGGCAGGAGAGCAGAGTCTGGAAGCGCCCCGCGTTTTCCCCCTCGCTGGCCCCCCACATCTCGGCACTCAGCCACGCGAAGTGGGTCGGCAGTTCGCGGGTCGACGCCCGACTGCCCCGACTGCCCAGAGGATTCTGCCCCCGATAGTCCCTGGGCGCCACGCCCCTTCCAGGCGGACGTCGCGTCTCTCCCAGGCGGACGCCGAGAGCACGAGCCAAATTCTCCCTCATCAGTTCGCCGACTCGAGGCCCGCACTGAGGAGGCGCCCGCCGCCAATCGCGGCGTCGCGCGCCGCCCCGCATCTGAATCATCGCGGAAGCGCCCTCCGCAGAAGCCCACGCGGCGCTGGAGCCCGCTCGGCAAGCGAGCCCAACGGGGGGCAGGTCGTCGCTCGTCGCTCGAGGGGCCCGCTGGCGCGCGAGAGCTTCTCGCAGGCGCACAAGTGCGAAGTCCAGCATCGATGGCGCAGCTGGCTCCGAGGGCCCTCCCGCGGCGGCCTCCTCGGCGGGGGCGGGCCCCCAGCCGGGGGCGCGAAGCCCCAGTGGCGGCCCACTTGCGAACGGGATCGAAGCGGCGGAGCCTTGACCGACAAGCCCGCGGGCCGCGGGGCCCCCCACGCTGCCACCAACGCAGAGGCGGGGGTGCTCGTCCAGGCCTGCACCCGCGGCGGGGCGGGAGGAGCCCGCGCCGCGAAGCTTTGCAGGTCGCGCAGCGGGATCCCGAGACGGGCGGCCTCGTCCTCGAACAGCTGAGGGGCGTCGCGACGGGGCACCTGGGCCTCCTGCGGCGGCCCCGCCATAGGCAGCACTGGAGCCTGGCGCGGCAAAGCAAGGCTGCGACCGCTCGACTGGGAGCTCGCGACTGCGCAGCCGGGAAGGGCGAGACCGCGATCCCTGCGTAGACCCCCGGGCGCCACGGAGGGGCCGCCGCTGGGGCCGCGGGCTTGCGTTCGCCGCCGCCTGCCGCCTCCGGATCCGAAGTGGACCCGATCTCCTCGACTCCCTCCGACGCCGCGTGCTACGGCGTCGCCCGCTCGGCCCCTGGCAAGTCCTCCTCGCCGTCGGCAGGGGAGGCTCCGTAGAGCGCGGCGAACTGCTCGCGGAGCAGCCTCACCACCGACGGGCGCGGCAAGTAGTCCCGACTCCGTACCGCAGCGGACGGGACGACGTCCGCTGGTAGTGTCGGCCCTGGCAGCGGCGTCAAAGACTCGAGCTCCAGCTCGTGGATGTCCAAGTCGATCACCAGGACGGAGGCCGCGGTGGCCAGCGCGCGGGAGGCTGCCCCAAGGAGCGGCACGTCCAGCACCAAGTGCGGGCCCAACAGCCGAGAGAAGCCGCCCC